CTTCTGGGGACACGCATCGGACACCCTCTTTACGAACGCCCCAAAGGGACAGGGCCCCTGCAAGCTCCCTAGCCGAGTGGCTTTTTTCCTCGCGTGGCTTTTGGGCACTGGGGGTGTGTGTGTGTGGGTGCTGGGAACAACCTCCCCCTCCCCGACCCTGCTTCTGCTTCGGTGTTAGTGTGGGCTGGGGGCGATGGTGGCCCAGAGAGGGGGCACAGCTGGACAGGCCTGTTTGCAGAGCCAGGACTCTGCATCTTTGCTGCTTCACCCCCATTCCCTTCGGTTTTTCGTTCAGCCCCCCTAGGAGTGGAGGCTGTGTGTGTGTGGGGGGGCAGGGAACCGCAGCCCCAGGTGGGGAGTTGAACCCAGCCTAGACGTTGCCTCTGCTGTCTGTCTTCCCAGCCTTCTGCAGAAGAGAGAAATAAGGTCAAACAAACTTTCTCTGCTCACGACGCCCTCCCTCCCTCCTTCCTGGTAAAATAATAATTCAGATAAGTGGCGTGTTTGTGAGTGAGGCTTGCTCTTCCTTCTTTGCTCATTAGCTGAGCTCCTGATGGATGATGGTGGGGAATGGCCTGGCTAAATGAGGCCACTTAGCAGTAGAGAGCCGGCAGAGAGCCGGGAAGGTAGACAGTGACTGTGCAGTCTAGTCTCTCAGGTAAACACACAGTGGGAACTTTCCAGCGACTCTGGAGGAAAAGCTACAGGAAAAATCCTGCAGGTTTAGTTGAAAACTTGCCATGATTTCTTTATAAGAAAAGGGCCTAAATGGAGTTGGATCAAATATGATAAAAGGGTAAAAAGATCCCAACACCCTCCCTAGACGGTCCTGCCTCTCAAGCAAGTAGCCCTGCCCTAGTCCTCACCTCCCAGGTTGAGCATAGAAAAGTTTGTTACTAAGCTTTCTCTTACCCACTCTGCCCGCTGGTTTTCTTTCTTTCTGTCTGTCTGTCTTTCTTTTTTAAGTTGATGCTTGAATTGAAATTGGACTGCTAAGCCCTCACCTTTGCTCTGAATTTGTCTGAGGTCAACAGTTTTATGTAAGAAACGTTCTCCAGGGCTGATTGGATTGGAGGGAAAGGATGCAGATGCTGCCCAGAGAGGATGCCTTAGTGAGCTCTGATAAATAACTGATGAAGATGTAACGTTGTTGTAGTGGTTTTTGTTTTGTTTTGTTTTGTTTAAGACACGGTGTTTACGTAGCCCTAGCGGCCCTGGAACTTACTCTGTAGACCAGGCTGGCCTCATGGAGATCTGTCTGCCTCTGCTTCCCAAGTGCTGGGACTTAAGACTTACGTTTTTCTCTTTCTCTCTCTCTCCAACCACCCCCTTCTTTCTTTTCTTTTCTTTTTCTTTTTTTTTTTGAAACAAGGTCTTGCTGTGTAACTGTGCCTGGCCCCTGCTTTGTAATCCTGCCACCCCACCCCATTGCACCGAGTCAGGCTTCTTCTTTTTTTAATTAAAGAACTAATTTACGGTTGGGCATTGTGGCACGTGCCAGTAAATTCAGCCTGTAAGAGGTGGGGGCAGGAAGCTTCAGAGCGGAGGGCCAGTCTCAGCTACATAGCTAGTTCTTGCCATCTTGGACTAATGGAAAGCTATTTCTAAAAGCAAAAGTGAGAGAAACCTAAGCAGGGTGTCGTGCATGCTACTAGTCTCAACACTTGGGAGTATGAAGCAGGGGGATACTGAGTTGTAAATCAGTTTGGGCTACTCAGAAGTGGGGGTGCTAGGAAAGTAACAGGCATGGTACAGCTTACTGAGGTTGCGGCACGGGTGGGTGTAACCTCCCTACTTACTGGGGTGAGTTACCTGATGCAGAAAGTTGTAGCCCAATAAACTGTTGCCCACTTCTAACCCCAGCACTTTAATCCTAGCAGAGGCGAGCAGGGCTCTGTGAGCTTGAGGCCAGCCTGGTTAACATGGCAAGTTCTAAGACATCCAGGGCTACACCATGTGACCCTGTCTAAAAAAAAAAAAAGGAGGGAGGCTGACTAATGTGAACTATTTGCTGAAAAGACCTGTAACTTTTTGATTGCAGATTATGTTTACTTTGAGAATTCCTCCAGCAACCCATACCTAATCAGAAGAATAGAAGAACTCAACAAGGTGAGAAGTGAGCAGCAGGGTGCTCTCCAAACCCTAGGGTGATTTTTACTTTCAGTTCCAGACTAAGAATTAATTTTACTTATTTATTTATTTGTTTATCTATTTATTTATTTATTTTACCCCCCCCCCCCAGACAGGGTTTCTCTGTGTGACAGCCCTGGCAGTCACTTTTTAGACCAGGCTGGCCTTGAACTCACAGCGACCTGCTTGCCTCTGCCTCCCGAGTGCTGGAATTAAAGGCATGTGCTACCACGCCTGTTGTTCAGTTCCAGAGTGTGAAAGTCAAACTTTCACGTATTTCAGCGTTCTGCTTTTTTTTCTTTGGTCTCATGATATTGAGTAAGATTACAGATCTCTTCAATTGATTTGAGTGCTAAAAGATCAAGGCCGTTGAAGAACTCGATTCCTTTTCCTATTTAGAACTGTAGTATGTATTTTGCTTGTTTGTTTGAGACAGGCTTTCACTGACTTCAAAATCACAATCCTCCTGCCTCAGCTTCCCAAGTGCTGTTTTGCAATTTTTAGTGAATTAATATTTTCCTCCTGTAGCTTTAGAAGGAAGTATCCTTCTGAACTAGGCATGGCGGTTTATGCCTAGTTAGGCACATGGGAGCTCAGGGTTAGCCTGCGCTGCAGAGTGAGGCCTTGTCTCTCCACCACCAGCAACCCTAAAATTGTAAAATGAGTCAACGTGATCCTAGCACTTGAGAGACTGACGCAGGAATATTATATGTAGTTCAAGTCTGGCCTGGGTTTTATTACTGAGGCTGTCTAGAAAAACAAAATGAGAGGCAGGGTAGATGGCTCAGTTGGTAAAGCAGTTGCCTTGCAAGCTGTAGGGCCTGAGTTCAATTCCCAGAACCCATATTCAAAAATAGAAAGAGAAACCGGTTTAGTGGCTCCTGCTTACAGTCCTTGCCCTGGGGCTCACAAGCCAACCAGGTGAACCTACCTGGGGAGTTCCAGGCCAGTGTAAAAACACAATGGTTAGGAAAATCAGAGGTGTTTGGGGGGGAAAGAGGGGGGAGGAAAAGGTAGGCAGATCTCTGTGAGTTTGAGGCCAGCCTGGTGTATAGAGTGAGTTCTAGGATAGCCAGGGCTACACAGAGAAACCCTGTCTTAGAAAAACAAGAACAAAAAAGAAAGAAAGAAAGAAAAACAAGTTGAATCAAAGTACTTGGTGAATAGTAATGCTATGTATAAGCATAAACATGGCACAATTCAGAAAGTCACTAGTTCAACAATTGTTTATTTAATGCCTTTAATTGTGTGCCAGCCATTTATGCTAAGATACTTACCATGACTGAAGCAAAAGACGACAATTTACACTGGTTTGGGAAAACAGGTATTGAAAGCAAACACAATGTAGACAATGTAGAATGTATAAATTTATATGTACATGAGTGTTTTCCTCTGTACTCTTCCTCTATTCATCTGAGTATAGACTAGGGGAAAGTAAAAAAGAGAAGTGGTTTTGAGACAGGGTTGCATGAAGTCCAGGCTGGCTGTGAACTGGTGCTCGTTTCTGAGGTCTGGGATCAGCATTGTGCACCACACACAGCAAAAGGGCACAAAATTTTAACAGTATCGGATTATGCTTATCAGGAGGTTTTAGTTTCAAATCTTAAAAGTTCTAGAATTTTAAAGAGGCTGTGCAAAGTCCTGGGTTCTATCACCCCCAGCCCCCAACTCAAAAGAGGCTGCTAATTGAACTCCAGATTACGTATTTACAGAGGGCTATCCTGTGTGTGACCTTTTACGGTTAGCACTTCTGTAGTTTTACTTTTATTTGTGAGACTGTGGCTGGCATGTTCATCTCTTACATACGTGTTTTCCGTCACCTCACCTGTGCTTTTTCAGGTCAGAAAGTGCCAAGTCCAGCTCAGGTGGTAACTCAGAGCTCCTGGGTTCAGTGCCCAGCATAGAAAAAACTGGGTGTGGCAGCCCACGCCGATAGTCCAGGACTGAGGAGATGGAGACTGGGGGGGATGGGAAGTCCTTATCAACCAGCGGAGAGCTCAAGGCCAGCTTGAGCAACTGAAGGCTTCGCCCCAAAAAACAAATAAAAATGCCTCCTGCTTGCTTTTTTCCACGTCGGTTGTCGCCTTCAGATACTTAGTTCAAGGCTGTGTGCCTCAGTGGTGCAGCGCTTGCTTTTCCATTTCTGAGCTCACCCTCCCTAGCACTGTAAAACAGGAGAAAAATTCTTTTACCCCATTGTTGGCGGCGGTTTGTTTGTTCCCGGCTGCCCTGCCCTGAAATAGTCACACAGAAACTGTATTAATCGCAACACTGCTTGGCCAATGACTCCAGCTTGTGTTCCTAGCAAGCTCTTACACCTTTTTTTTTTTTAAAGATTTATTTATTTATTTAATGTGCACTTGTGTTTTGCCTATATATATTCTATATGAGGATGTCAGATCCCCTGGAATGGGAACCACAGACAGTTGTGAGCTGCCGTGTGGGCGCTGGGAATTGAACCCGGCTCCTTTGGAAGAGCAGCCAGTGCTCTTAACTGCTGAGCCATCTCTCCAGCCCCAGTTCTTACATCTTTAATTAACCCATTTCTATTAACCTATGTATCGCCACATGGCGATGGCTTACTGGCTGAGGGCGTCTCCATGACTTTGCCTACTCTCTAATTTTTTCCAGCCTGGCTATATTCTGTTAAGCCATTGGCCGAAAGCCGCTTCTTTATCCCTTAATCAATAAAAGGAGCACATATACAGAACTCCCCCCATGTGTACACTCACATATACACACACACAACACACCCAGTATCATGCACACACACACACACACACACACACACACACACACACACCGGTAAAATCAGAGATTCAGACTGCATACTTTATTTTATTTCTTGACACCTGGTTTCGCTATGTAGTCCTGGCTAGCTTGAAACTTCCTGTGGAGACCAGGCTGGCCTCAGAAACACAGAACTCTGCCTACCTCAAGTGCCAGTATTAAAGATGTATGCCATACCCAGCATTGAGACAAATCTTGCTATGTTCCCCAAGTTAGTCTTGAACTTTCTTGATGGTTCATGCTGACCTCAGAGTTTCTATTGTTGAAGCAGGGTCACGTAGCCTAGGCTGGCCTTGAACTCACTGTGAGACAGAGGTGGGCCTTGAACTGTCCTCCTGAATGCTAGAATCACAGATGGGCTCTGACCTGCCTGACTGGCTGGGGATGTTGAATTGTATCTGTAGCTTTCCCTAGCTACCCCCACACTACTCATCACTAAACACTGAGTCCAGGCCATTGCTTAGCTAGACAAATGTCCTACCACTGAGCTGTATTGTTTTTGAGACAGACTCTTACAGTTTAGGCCTGTTGGCCTAGAACTTGCAATGTAAACAGAGCTGGACTCAAACCTGGGCCAATTCTCCTGCCTCTGCCTGCTGAATGCTGAGCTTATAGCATTGGTGGTATACTGAGTTACCCCACCTGCATATACAATTTTTTCAAATAATTTGCAAAAGATCTCCTAATGCCATTTCATAGAGCCTTAATCAGGATCCCTCCTGCCATTTGGGTACTATTGGCAATAGGCATGGATATTAGGGAATTTTCCCATTGATTCCCGACTGTCCATTTGGAGTACTGTGAGTTGAACCCAGGGCCTTGAACATGCTGGGCCAGTGCTATATCACTAAGCTGTGTTTATATTTATAGCCCTTGTTTTTTTGTTTTTGTTTTGAGACAAAGTCTCAAGAAAAAAAAAAAAAGGACAGAGCCCAGACTTGTCTTCAATTCTTGATGTTCTGGGTCTCTGATTCTAGGAGTGGTGGTCTACTAGGCTCAACTTTAATGCTTAACATTTATAACACATGTACCCTCAATCCCTGCACTCAGTTCTTTACACACCAGAAATTGTTGCAGACTAGCCACTTCTCAGTGCATCATTGTTTAGAATAACAGAGCTTCAGAGAAATGGTTTCTGTGTATTCTGTGGAAGGGAAGAACCATGCTGTACTATAGTCCTGGGGGAAGGACAATAGTCCTGTAGTCGTAAGGCAAGAACAATACTGCACTATTGTGAGTTAGCCAATAGTCAAGAGTGTGTGTGGCCCAGGAGAAGATTTTTGTTGCTGGGCATTGAGCCCCAGGCTGTGCACATTATAAGAATGCACCCTGAACTGAGCTACATCCCTTAGTCCTGAAGATGTTATTATTGTTTATAATTTACTTATTTTTATTTATTTGTTTTTATTTTATGTGCATTGGTATTTTGCCTGCATGTATGTCTGTGTGAAGGTGTGGGATCCCCTGGAATTGGAGTTATAGACAGTTGTGGGCTGCCTTGTGGGTACTGGTAATTGGGTACTGGTAATTGAACATGGGTTCTCTGGAAGAGCAGCCAGTGCTCTTAACCACTGAGCCATCTCCAGACCCAAAGAGGTCTTATATTGTTGCTTTTTGTATTTTGAGAGTATAGTCTTTCCTGGCTGTCCTGGAACTCACTTTGTACATGAGGCTGGCCTTGAACTCACAGAGATTCTCCTGCCTCTGCCTCCTGAGTGCTGGTACTAAAGGTGTTTGTCACCACACCCAATCTCACCTAGCTATTTTTATGTCCACGTATGATGCTATACACCTATTAATTTCAGCACTAGGTAGGTTGAGGCAGGAGGATTACCGGTTCTAAGACAGCTTGTGTTATGTAGTAAGATCTTGTCTTTAAAAAAGTAGAGCGGGTGGATGGCACATTCCTTTAATCCCAGCACTTGGGAGGGAGAGGCAGGCGATCTCAGAGTTTGAGCCTGGTTTACAGAGCGAGTTCCAGAACAGCCAGGGCTACACAAAGAAACCCTGTCTTGAAAAAAAAAAAAGAAAAAAAAAAAAGGAAAAGAGGAAATATTCTGAATTACAGCTTTATCCCTCAAGCAGACTTAACTGAGAATTTGATCATCTTTGTAGAGCGTTGCTCTTAGGCGAGCTCACTAATGAGACGGAGATGAGAAAGCACATAGAGTGGAGCCCTAGATTTTATTTACATGGAAATATCGGCCTGTTCTTTTAGCAGATTGCTGGATCATTGCTTCTGGGGGATGAGTTTGATCACAACATTACAAAATGTATTGGCATTTGGGTAGGAATTTAATATGATTTCATTTTGAAGGGGCAATATTTCCACAGAACCATTTCTCGCTAAAATATTTGCTGCCGAACTAAAATGTTGCTGTTGAACTTGGTAAAATTGACAAATTTATTATGGTATACATTCTTTCTATTTGAATATATCTCTTAAGTCCAAATACATTCTGCATGCGTGTGCCACGTATGTTAGAAATTGGACATTACGGTAACATTTTATTGTAATCTATGTGCTTTTATGAAGAGCTTGCCAGTGAATGATTGGCCTGCTTGAAAGCCTGCAGAATTTATAGATATTAGAATAGGAGCCTGGGCCTCAGCTGCAGTAAATTGCATCCGAGCTGACTGCAGATTGTATTCTATTTTTTTCTTTTTCCTTCTTCTTCTTCCTTCCTTCCTTCCTTCCTTTCTTTTTTTTTTTTATTTTCGAGACAGGGTTTCTTTATAGTTTTTGGTGCCTTTCCTGGAACTAGCTCTTGTAGACCAGGCTGGCCTCAAACTCACAGAGATCTGCCTGCCTCTGCCTCCCAAGTGCTGGGATTAAAGGCGTGTACCACCACTGCCCAGCACATACTGTATTCTAGACTAGTCAGAAAGACGTCTGTTTGGGGAGCTTACAGTTTTGCATAGTTTCTTACTTGAAGGTAAACTGAGACTGTTGATCGTGTAGAGAGTGTTTCTGCAGTTCTATTCTGCATGCTGGCTACTGCCCCCTGTGGAGAGTCGTCCTAGGACTGGGCTGGGTGATATTCCACTTAATTTGTGTCATCTGGGGATGGGTTTGAGTAGTCAATGTACAGCAATGCTTTACAAAGATGATTAAAATCAGTACCATGAACAAATTATTTGTGGCTTTTAAAATTGGAAGGATCAGTCTGGCTGGTATGACTGTGAATGCCTGGGGGAGGTGGAGGCAAGAAGATGGTGAACGCAAGGCCAGCCAGGGTCTCACAACACGCATGCGCACAAAGTTAGCGGGAGCTTGTCTCCACTTCCTTCTCTCCAGGTTTTGCCACTGTTGTTTGCTTTTTGAGACAGTGTCTTGCTACGTAGCCCTGGCTGGCTGGTGTGGAATTCTCTATGTAGATCAGACTGTCAGCGAACTTTGTACAGTCTTTCGGAGTTAGCTTTGCGAGGGCTGAGGTTATAGGCACGTGCTGCTACATTCAGTTTTTAAGCACATTTAATCGTGGAGACTTAAGGTCTCATGTGACTTTTGTTTTTCTCATTTCTTAGACTGCGAGTGGCAACGTGGAAGCAAAAGTTGTATGCTTCTATAGACGACGTGATATCTCCAACACGCTAATAATGCTTGCCGATAAGCATGCTAGTAAGTGAAACGACTTTCTTTTGGATGGGGGGAGGAGTTTTGTGTTTTTCATGATGTGAGGAAAATGTTTTCTATGACTACAAAACTTTTTGTCTCTTATTTATTTGTTTTTTTATTTAATTTTTATTTTGGGTGTATGGGTGTTTGCCTGCATGTATGATGTTGGATGTCCTTCTGTATATGTGTTGCTTTTATTGGTTGATGAATAAAGCTGTTTTGGCCAATGACTTAGCAGAGCAAAGCAAGGTGGGAAATCCAAGCAGAGAAACACAGAGAGAGTAGGCAGAGTCAGAGAGACACCATGTAGTGGCTGAAGGAGAAAGATGCCCAAACCTTTACCAGTAATCCACAGCCTCATGACAATACAGATTAATAAAAATGGATTAATTTAGGATATAAGAGTTAGCCAAAACTATGCCTAAATTATTGACCAAGCAGTGTTGTAATTAATATAGTTTCTGTGTGATTATTTTGGTCAGGGCAGCCAGGAAACTAAAGAGCAGTCTTTGTTTACACACGTATATGTCTGTGCACCACACGCATGCCTGGTCCTCTGGAAGAACAGCCAGTGCTCTTAGTCACTAAGCCACCTTCCCAGCCCTCCTTGCAGTTTAAATGGGAGTAGTTTTTGGGTAGAATGTTTCTTCTCTTTCTTCTCTCTGTGTACATACAGAGATAGAATACTACTACTACTACTAATTATTATTTTTTTGAGACAGGGTTTCTCTGTAGCTTTGGAGCATGTCCTAGAACTAGCTCTTGTAAATCAGGCTGGCCTCAAACTCACAGACATCCACCTGCTTTCCTGAGTGCTGGGATTAAAGATGTGCACCACCACAGCCTCGCTGCAGAGATATAATTTATATATACTAGCATGGTTTATATATTTATAATATTTGTGTGTGTGTGTGTTAGGGAGTGAACTCAAGATCTTGTGCATTCTAGGAAGTGCCCTCCCTCTGAGGTACATCCTAGTCCCAGGTCATACTTCTTTAGATTATATCATGCATACTTTTATTAAGAAATTAACATATTGAAATAAAAAATTTTGAAAGTAATCATCAGGGTAGTATTTTTGTTATTACTTATTATAGTTTCTTTGTGGGTACAGATTTGAGGAAATTTATATTTCATTGTGACATTTCAGGAGGAAGCTTATTCTTTCCTTAAAACAAATGGGCAGTATTATGCTTTTTGTTTTTGAGCACCAACTTCATGTATACTTATAATCTAAATGCTCCAAATATAGGTCTGTGTTACCATATTCCAGCTAATATTTGCAGTTTTCCACCAAGTATTTATTGTTAAACATTTACAGTATTAGGTATACAAGGAATTAAAATTTTGCTAGGTCTTATTTAGATATGAACAATTCCTATAGATAGTATACTTGGTAGGTTTTTTGGAGGGGAGTATGTAGCTTACAATGTGTGCATGTGTGAATGTGGGAACTAAAGGTTGACACTGGGATACTGTTTTAGTTCCTTTTCTATTGCTGTGATCAGACAGCATGACCAAGGCAACTTGTAAAAGAAGGTGTTGGATTGGGGCTTTCAGTTCCAGAGGGTTAGAGTCCAGACGGCAAGAGGGAGCACAGAGTAGGTAGCAGACATGGCAGGGTAGTGACGGAGAATGTACGTCTTTATCCACAGCCGTGAAGCAGAGAACACACTAGAAATAGCCTGAGTCGTTGGAAACCTTAAAGTCAGCCCTTCCTTCCTTCTTCCCTCCTCCCTCTTCCCACCTCTACCCACAAGGCCACACCTCCTCATCTTTCCCAGATAGTTACACCAACCAGGGACCAGGTATTCAAGCATATGAACCTATGAAGCTGTTCTCATTCAAGCCACAAGTGGCTTCCTATTTTTTCCCCCCTTTTTGGAGACTACTTTTTGTGAATCCCAGGCTGGCTTTGAACTTACTACATAAAAGAGTCTGACCTTGTAATCTTGGTCTTCCAGCTTCCACCCCCCAAGTGCTGGAATCACATGCGTGCACCACCACCCCCGAGAGTTTCTTTTCTGTCTGTCTCCTTGAGACAGGGTTTCACACTACACGTAGTGCAGGCTCGTAGCCCAGGCTGGTCTCAAACCCTTGGCAATCATGCCTCATCTTCCCCAGTCCTGAGATTACAGGTGTGAGCCACTAAGTCTGGCTTTAGTTCTTTATAGATGCAGTGTATTTAATCCCCCATCAGTTGTTTACTTGGCAAAGACTTTCTTTCATTATGCAGGCTGTCTGCTCATTCTGCTGCTTTCCTTTGCTATGAGAAAAGTTTTTAACTTTCTTCTATTACATTAGTCGATTCTTTACATTTTATTTTTCCCCCTCGAGACAGGGTTCACTGGCTTGGAACTCTCTGTGTAGACCAGGCTGGACTCAAACTCACAGAAATCTGCCTGTCTCTGCTTCCAGAGGGCTGGGGCTAAAAGTGTGTGCCTGGCTGCAAGTAGTCAATTCTTCTTCTTCTTTTTTTTTTTTTCATTTTCAGACTTATTTGTTTTCTGTATGAGTGCTTTGCTGTATGAATGTATGTGGCCTGCACGTATGTTCCTGGTGCCTGCGGAGTTTAGAAAAACGTATCAGATTCACTGAAAGTGGAGTTATGGACAGTTGTGATCCACCATGTGGGTGCTTAGAATTGAGCCCAGGTCCTCTACCAGAGAAGCACACTTAACCTCTGAGTCAACTCTCCAGTCCCCTCCCCATGAATCATTCTCTGTATTATCATCTTGAGCTATGAAGGACTTTTCGGCAACCCCTTGCTTATCCTCCATCTTGAAGTGTATTCTCTATGTTTTCCTTTCAGGGTGCACATTAAGGTCTTTGATCCAGTTTGAATTGGTTTTTGAGCAGGGTGAGAGAGGGTCTAGTTTCATTCTACATGTGGCCATTCAGTTTTTCCAGGATCCTTTGTAGGAAAGCCTGCCCTTTCACCTTTGCCAGACTTAAGGGATTGTAGCTGTGTGGGTTTCTTTCTGGTTTTATCTCTTTTTCTATGAGAAATTACTATTTTATATGTGTGAGGTTTTGCCTCCGTGTATGTCTGTGTACCACATGCATGCCTGGTACCTGCAGAGGCCAGAAGAAGGCATTGGATCCCCTTGACTGGAGTTACAGACGGTAATGAGCCACCACGTAGGTGCTGAGAATTGAACGTAGGTCCTCAGAAGAGCACCAGCGTGTGCCCTTTTCAGCTCTGGGTTCTCTAGTCTATGCATTGGTCTGTGTGCTTTGTGTCAGAACATGCTCTTTTGTTTCTATGGCACTGGTATAGTTTGAAGCCAGATATTTTAGACCCCCAGCCTTGCTTTCTTCTTAGGATTGCTTTGATTATTCAAGGTCTGTGTGTTTTCATATGAATTTTAGGATTTTTTTTTCCATGAGGGTATGTCATTGAGATTTTTTGTTTGTCTGTTTTGTTTTGTAGGCAGGGTTTCCTCTTTGTAGATTTTGGTATCCTTATAGACCAGGCTGGCCTGGAACTCACAGAGATCCTCCTGTCTCTGCCTCCCAAGTGCTGAGATTAAGCATGTGAGCCATGGCCACCCAACTTTTTGTTTTGTTTTGTTTAGTTTTGTTTTGTTTTTTGAGACAGGCTTTCTCTGTGTAGCTTTGACTGTCCTGTAACTTGTTTTATAGATCAAGGGGGCCTCAAACTCACAGAGATCCACCTGCCTCTGCCTCCCAAGTGCTTGGACTAAAGGTGTGCACCACCACCGCCTGGCTGAGGAGGGTCTTTCAAGTGCAGACCTCACCATTTGCAAATATGGATAATCTAACATCCCCACCCCCTTTGTGCCCTTTTTATTTCTTACTCTGCTGGAGAGCACAAGCACTCTACTGGAAAAGTATGGAGAGAGCGGATTCTCCTGACTTCAGAGCAAAAGTGTTTGCTGCAGTGTTGGCTGTCAGTCTGTCCTGTCTTACCTTTGTC